GGCACGGGGGGTTCTGGGCTGGGCCGTGTCCAGCCTCTGCCCCACCAGCACCCACAGGGCCTTCTCCCAGGGCTGCTCCATCTGCTCATCCCCAGCCTGGACTGATCCCAGGGATGCCCTGACCCAGGTGCAGCACCAGCCCTTGGCCTTGTTGAACCTCAGGAGATTCCCATGGGAATTCTGGAGCCTGTCCAGCTCCCTCTGGGTGGCCTCGTCCTCCAGGTGTGTCACTGCAGCCTCAGCTCGGGGTCACCTGCAAAGCTTCTGAGGGTGTCCCCGACCCTCTGTCTGTGTCATTAATGCAGATGTTAAATAACACTGGTCCCAGTACAGACCCTGAGGGCACCACTGGCCACTGGTGTCCATTGGGATGCTGAGCCATTGACTACAACTCTTGGATGTGACCATCCAACCACTTCCTTATCCATCTGACAGTCCACCCACTGAATCCTTTCCTTTCCAATTTAGAGAGGATGTTGTGGGGGGCCATGTCTGAGGCTTTACAGGAATCCAGATAAATGACTTTACAGCAATCCATATAAATGTCATCTGTAGCCCCTCCCTTGTCCACTGATGGAGTCACTCCATCACAGAAGGCCACTGGGTTGGTCAGGCAGGACCTATCCCTGTGAAGCTATGCTGACTGTCCCGAATCCTCTCCCTGTCCTCCCTGTGCCTCAGCAGAGCTTCCAGAAGGGTCTGTTCCATGACCTTCCCAGGCACAGAGGTTGACGGGGCGGTAGCTCCCAGGCTCCTCCTTTCCACCCCTTTTAAAGACGGGAACAACGTCTCCCTTTTCTCAGTCACCTGGGACTTCACCTGCCACGGCTTTCCAACAACCTGGAGCGAGGCTTGGCAGCTCCATCCGCCAGTTCCCTCAGGACTCTGGGACGCATCTCACACAGGATGGGGTGGCGCGGGATATCCCCACGGTCCGGCACGACATGGCGCACTATGTCGCGATACGGCGCGACGCGTCACCCTGTCTGCCGCTCCGGGCGGCGGAGCGTGTCCCGGGGCGTGTCCCGGAGAGTGTCCTCCCGGTCGAGGCGTGTCCCTGGGAGTGTCCCGTGGACCATAGGTTTCCCGGGGCGGAGCGTTTCCCGCATCGGGGCGTGTCCCCCATCGGGGCGTGTCCCCCATCGGGGCGTGTCCCCGCTCCGTGCGTGTCCCGGGGCGTGTCCCCGGTCTCTGCGTGTCCCGGGGCGGGGCGGCGGTGGCGTTGCCGGTGCCGGGAGCGCAGCGATGGCGGCGGCGGAGCTGGAGCGGCTGCGGATGGCGGGGGCCGGGATGGCCATCGCCGTCCTCACCAGCGGTGGAGACGCGCAAGGTGCGCCCGGCGGGGCGGGGGGCTTGGCCCAGGGCCCGCGGCCTCCCCGCGTGTCCGTGCCTGTGTCCGTGTCCGTGCCCGTGTCCGTGTCCCTGTCCGTGCCCGCCCGGGGCCCGAGTCCGCGGGGCGGCGGCCCGCACTGTGCCCCGGGGCGCGGGGATGGGGCACTCCCGTCCCCGTGCCCCCCACGGGGATGGTCGGTGCGTCCCGCCCGCGGCACTTCCCCATCCCCCCCGGGACATCACGCGGGCCCTCGGGGGGAGCCTCACGGAGGTCGGGTGTGTCTCCCCCCAGATAAGCAACTCAGTCCCGGCCAGTTGCTCATCCACAGCTCCCACCCGTGCGTCAAGTTTCCCCGGTCTCAGCCCACGTGGGTCCCACTCTCTCGAGGGGACTTCTCAAGGTCACCTACAGGATCCGATTTGTGGGGCTCAGGGTCCCACGAGGATCACCTTAGGCTAGGGGACACCTCAGGGTCACCTACAGGATCCCATCCCCCATGAGGCACGGTATCCCACAGGAATGTCCCTGCTCACATTCTAGGGATGAATGCTGCTGTCCGTGCTGTCACCCGCATGGGGATATACGTGGGAGCCAAGGTGTTCCTCATCTATGAGGTTGGGATACCCCCCTGCTCCCTGCCACATGTGTGGGGCACCCACCCCCCTGTGCCAAGGTACCCCTCACCTCCACCCCACTCTTCTCCGCAGGGCTACGAGGGGCTGGTGGAGGGGGGCGACAACATCAAACAAGCCAACTGGCTCAGTGTCTCCAACATCATCCAGCTGGTGAGAGTAACTGGTGGGGACATGGGACCTCCAGATCCCACCTCCCCAAGTTCGGGTGACGAGCCGTGTTCTGTTGTGCCCCCAGGGCGGGACGGTGATTGGCAGCGCCCGCTGCAAGGCCTTCACGACACGTGCGGGGCGGCTCCGCGCCGCCCGCAACCTGGTGGAGCACGGCATCACCAACCTGTGCGTCATCGGCGGCGACGGCAGCCTCACCGGCGCAGACATCTTCCGCTCCGAGTGGGCTGGGCTGCTGGACGAACTGGTTCGAGACGGTGGGTGAACCCCCTCCTAAACCCCCTAGGTGGGCACAGAAGGCGTTGGAGGGGTGTTGAGGTCCAGAGGTTCACCCCGTCACTGTGACCCCAAGGAGGGCTGGGCTTCCCCGCTGCTCCACTGGTGATAGGGGGGATTTGAGAGCCCCAAAATAACCAGTGTGGTGGCCGTGACCCCCCCCAGGGCAGATCAGTGAGGAGGTGGCGCGGCAGAACTGCCGCCTGAACATCGTGGGGCTGGTGGGCTCCATCGACAACGACTTCTGCGGCACCGACATGACCATCGGCACTGACTCAGCGCTGCACCGCATCATGGAGGTCATCGATGCCATCACCACCACGGCACAGAGGTGACCAGGGCGGGCGCTGGGGGGGGTGCTGGGCCACCCCAGGGCATCACACTGACTCCTTGTCCTCCCACCCATGTCCTTGTAGCCACCAGCGGACGTTCGTGCTGGAGGTGATGGGTCGCCACTGCGGGTAAGACCCCGTGGGCAGGGAAGCCCATCGGTGGGAAGGGAGGTCATGTCTCAGGGCTGCCACCACCGTGTCCCCCCAGGTACCTGGCGCTGGTGTCTGGCCTGGCCTCGGGAGCTGACTGGCTCTTCATCCCTGAATCCCCTCCGGAGGACGGTTGGGAGGACCTCATGTGCGAGAGGCTGGGGGAGGTGAGGGAGATCTCCTACAGTCCCGTCCCCTGTTTCCCCACGGAGATTCCCCTCAGGAGCCCAGGCTGAGCCCTGCTCTGGTGCCCAGCCCCCGCGAAGCTTCGGGAGCCGCCGGCATTGTCCTGTGAACCGGGGCACTCAGCCGAGTGCAAATCCAGCCCTCGCGTGCCAGGGGCAGTGCTGGCGGGGGCTCGGCTGCCCGTGACCTGAGCCACCCCCAGGGCAGCAGCCGCTGACGGGGAGGGGAGGGTACTGGGACACGGCCACCAAGAGTTTCGGCTAAGCCGTGGCGGGTGTTCCC